GGGTGATAAAATTATCTATATTCTTCATTAAGTACCTCAAATTGAGATTTCTGTTGAGTTAGTAGAAATAAATTTACTTGAAAAATAGTCGTTAGGGAAAATAAAAATATAGAAAATCCTATAATCAAACTTGTAAATTTAAGAGCATATATTTTTGAAGGAATTGGTAAAATTTTAGTTCTTTTTGAATACATCAATAATTGGGTAAAAAGATTAATTTTTTATGTATAGAATGAGTATGCTGAAAAGTAAATCTAATATTGTTAAGAGAATATCAATATTTTACTTGAATAAATTAGATAGATAAAGAGTAAACTATATTTTATGAAACAATTCTATAACTTAGATAGTAAAAGTCTGATATAAAAGGAAAAATTAATACTCTCAAATATACCAGACAAAAAGTTGGATGACTAGATTAATATATTATTTTAGCAATAAGAAAATAAGGTTTAATAAGACTCTCATCAATAAGTTTACATTGAATAACAATAGTCATAAACATATTCCCAAACGTACACCGATATGCCCTATGCATTTAATATCTATAAATATACCATAAATGAGCCAGAAGATATTATTGTTAATTTGGAACATATTAACAATGAATATAAGTTAAAATTAATGTATATCTAAGTTTCATTAATCATCCCTATAACAATAGAAACGGAATAGTTAATAATTTAAATTTTTTGCTTATGGGATGTCATTTTCATTCTTATTATATTTTTATTGGAAATTTTCTCTAAAAATTAAAGGTATTTAAAGTTCTCTAATTTTTTTTCAAATATTTATTAGTTCAATAATGAACTAGGATTTGCATAAATAATATACTTTTTAAGTCTAATTACCTTTTTTTTGGAAATTTTACATACTCTATAAGTAAATACCTACCAATGATAAAAAATTACAAATTGATTTATAAACTTTAAAATATACATTTTTGATATAAATTATTTAATAAAAAGTGTACAATTATCAATGTCAGAGGATCAAATATATTATGTAATAATTAATATTGAATACAATTAAGAATAATTAGTAAAAATAATTAAATATACATAAATAATTCAATATTTATTTGTATTCACAAAATTAATTCTTTTTTATTGTTAATAATAATATTGATTTATTTATGTTTAAATAGCGTTAAGATTTTTGTAAGGTTGTTGCCAATGATTTCTTGGGAGGACCTAAAATAATCAAATAATGTCATAGAATTAATATTCAAAAAGGATTAGCAGCTGTTTTGTTGTTTTCCTCATTTGGTGGTATTAAAACTTTTCTTTAGGTGCTTATCTCTATGTAATCATATGGGTTGTAAAAGATTTCACATTTCCAGATAGAACTTCCAGAATAAAATTACGATTGGCTCATTAATATTTACGTTGATATTGTTAAGCTTATATTAGGTAATTGCCTGGTTAGAAATATCAGATGGAATTCCAAATCCAAGCAATGGAAGAGTAGTTACTGCTATTTTTGCTTATGTTTCTGGAGTTGTATTAATGATTGTGAGTGATTGCTAAAAATACTATACATTAAAATATAAATAAGGTTTAATTATGGAAGGAATGTTTAAATATGGTAAGAATCCTAATTATACAGGTGAAAATTATTATATGCATCGTTTGCAATCCTTAGTGGACATGTATTAGCTTACAAAATATTATTCAGAGTCTGGATAATTGCATTCTATGGATTTATGATAAAGAAAGATATTTCCTTTGCCAAAAAATAAGGTTTGGAACTAATATTAAAAGTAATCTTATTTATTCTTATGGAAAATTCATTAAAATGATAATAAATTATGAATCATATCGGGCATTAGTAACATATTTGATATGGGATATTACTAAGTAAGTGGAGTCATTACATTATTAAGAAAATGAGTATATCATTAAAATATTAGATGAAAATTATGTTTTAAATAAAAAATCTCTCTTAATAAACAAATTTAAAATATAAATCAAAACTTATAGTTATTATTATATGGTTGAAATCAATATTTGAATTAAGTAGACAAATTAGTTTTCCTTTAGTACTGTTCACAAATTATAATCTTTAGTTAACAAATTCTAGTGTTTTTATTAAAATTAAACAATTATTTCACTTCAATAAAATCATAAGATGCCAATATAGATTTATTATTATAAAATAATAATTACAAATTGCCTCACCCAAAAGATATATCTTTAATTAATTAATTACTAGTTTCTTAATATTATCTTTATTATTATTGAAAATTATCATTTGATCCTGAATAATTAAATATAGTTTGTTTATTTTTAAATCACTATTTTATAAATAATATTTAATTTAATTCCTCTAATTACATAATTTCCTATACTTGATAATCTGATTCCATATTTCAATAAATTCTAAAGATATTCAATTATTATATCATAATTATAAATCTTGCTTTATTAAATATTTCACTTTAAAGATAGATATCATTAGTTTTTATAAATATTAATTTTAATCGTAAATCCATCAATAATGGGTAAAAAAGCAGAAATTTTAAGAGAATTTGATATTTTACAACATAAATAATCAATATAGAAAGCACTTTAAATATTAAAATGATTTGATTTTTCAATGTAATTATTTTATAAATGTATTTAATTATAAATCTTAAGATCTCATACCTTTTAATAGAAGTAATAGATATTTATTTAAAAAGTAATCTATGCTTTATATTTAGGAAAAAACTTAATTATATTAAGAATTTTATTTATAATCTAAATCTTAATTAATTTAATAATTAGTTTTTCATTAAGAAATTCTTAACATAAATCATAAGGTTAATAATTTTCATTTGACATTTTATTTTAATAAAGATAAAACTTAAAATAAAATACTATATGTCAATTACAAGATAATATATAAAAATTTGCTACTTTTATTATTTTTCAAAAATTAAAGCATGATTCATTCTTACCTTTGTCATTTGAATTTATTTATATTTTTTTAGAAAAATAAATTAAATCCTGAACTAAATTTGTAATTTAAATCTAGTGTTGGAATTTTAGATTAAATAATATCAATAAATAAATAAAGAATTATAAGTTATAT